AATCGGACGAACGGGGACGCGTCGAGCAAACTGTCGCGCGAACTGGGCACCTCCGTCGCGCGGCTCGAGGAGATCGGCGAGAAAACGGAGAAGCGAGTGCGCGCCTTGGAGAGATCTCTGTCGCACGTGAACAACGTAGCGGCGAACAACGAGAGAAATCGAGCCGCGTTGGACGATCACGACAGAACGCTGCAGGAGTTGACGGCGAAGGCGCTGACTTCCAACGCGAAATTGCGAGAACTGGACGTCGAGGTGGCGCGTCTGAGGAAAGACGCGAACGAACTCGCGAGGAGAACGGCCGCAACGACGACGACGGTGACGAGGGCTGCGGCGAAGGCGGCTGCGGCGGCTGCGATTCCTAAGACGATCAATCCGAATAAGGTAATCATACAACTGGGCGCTAAAACTCCCGATAAGCAACAGTCGAAGAGAGGGTAGGAAAAAAAGAAAAATAGAGACGGCGAGCTGAGCGCCGCGAAACGGAGACTCGTGAACGAGTTGCACGCGCCGGAGAGAAAGAACTTCCCCCGTCGCCGCGTCGCGGTGCGCGAATACGACGATCTGTGGCAAGCGGACGTCGTCGAGATGCGTCCTTACGCCGGACGGAACAGAGGCCACAATTACATACTCACCGTCATCGACGCTCTGAGCAAGTACGCGTGGGCGATACCGCTCAAGAGAAAGAGCGGCGACGAGGTCGCTCGAGCCCTGTCGAGCGTGACGCGCGCCTCCGGACGTCGCCCGAGAAATCTGCAGACCGACAAAGGAAAGGAGTTCTACAACGTCGAGGTGCGAAGATTCGCGGATAGACACGGCATCAATCACTACTCGACGCATTCCGTGCTGAAAGCGTCCATCGTCGAGCGTTTCAATCGCACGCTCAAGAACTCGATGTGGAAGTACTTCACGCTGAACGGAACGTACAAGTGGCTCGACGCGCTGCCGCGTCTAATATCCGAGTACAACGCTCGCAAGCATCGAACCATCGGGATGCGTCCGATCGACGTGACGCCCGCTCGAGCGTCGAGACTCCTGTCGACGGTGTACAGCCACCCGAAGATCGCCGCTCCGGGAAAATTTCGACCGAACGATCCCGTGCGCGTGAGCAAGTACAAGACGCTGTTTGAGAAGGGATACACGCCGAATTGGACCGCGGAGATCTTCCGCATAGCCGAGGTGCGAAGGACGAATCCCGCGACGTATCTGCTGAAGGATTCGCGCGGCGAGCCGATAGCCGGCGGATTCTACGAGCACGAGTTGCAGCGAGTCTCCGATCCCGACGTGTATCTCGTGGAGAGAGTGCTGCGCCGGAAGGGCGACGCGGTTCTCGTGAAGTGGCTGGGGATGGACAGGTCGCATAATTCGTGGATAGACAAAGCCGACATATTGTGACGAACATACGTATATTTTCGCGCGATATCGCGGACGAAAAGATACGTCGCGCGTATTGTAACGCGTCGCAACGAATATATACATATTTGTAATATTTAAGAAAATACATCGCGCGCATTGCAACGCGTCGCAACAAACATATATATATATATATTGTACAACATTAAAGATAATAAAATACATCGCGCATATCTGTAAAAAAATACATCGCATTGCGCTTAAGATCTATCCGCGCCTCTCCTCACAGAGGTATCCTGTAGTGCCCCCACGGCAGAGTGTCGGTCGAATCCGGCACGACGTAGCGCTTATCGTCGTACGGACTGAGCGCGACCTTCGACTCGCGCACGGTGTACACCTCGTGTAACTTGGATCTCAGGCACGACTGCTCGCGAGTCATCTCGATCTCGCCTCTCAGGCAGCGCTCGTAATCGTCGAACGTCAGCGTTCTCGCGACGACGCTGCTCCTCACGCCCTTGCTCTTCTTAGTGTCGCCTCTACCCTCGACTCGCAACGCGTACATCTTCGCTCTGAGTCCGACGAACTCGAGCATGAGAGCGCCGTTGTTCTCGTCCTTCATCAGACCGAGAACCTTCTTATTCGCGCGCAGCACGCCGTAGGGATTGTCGACGGCGTAATCGCTCGTGTCGAATCTATCGACGTCGCGCTTCATTCGCTCGTACGCGTCCTCGCACTCTACGCTATAAATGAGACTGTCCGTGTCGGTGTACAATATCTTACACTTATCGCCGTAGAGCGGCGACATGTATTCGTAGTGAAACGCGTACAGACGAATCTTGGATATATCGAGAATCGACATGCCTACGTAGATCGGTTTGTCGATCTTCGCCTCCAATTTGCGCAATTCCACGGGCATGAGATTCTCTGAGAATACGCTTCTACTGTGAAAATTCGGCTTGGAGATGAGCGCCTCGGCTCCGAATCGACCGTCCCATCGAGTCGCGAGTCGAACGTCCACGCGATTGCGCACGTTCTCTATGGTCTTGCCGAAAACGGCGTTGTTCATCAACTTGTACAGATTCTTCTCGAAATCGTTACTCGCGTTAGTGCGTAAACGCGTGTTAAGTTCCACGTATCCGCGTAACCACGGCGACTGCGAGAAGCGCAGCGCGCGATGAATCCTAGTCAGACGCAGACCGTGACGAACGCACTGCGCAGATTGCGATAGTGCGTGACGTATCGGCGCTTATCGTACAGCGTGGCTAGGAGTTTGCTCTGCCGCTTCCCCGGCGGCTTATCGCGCGTGGGACAAAACGGTAGATCGGCGTGGGCGTCGTGCGCGTCGGCCGGATAGTCGAGATCGACCTCGAGAATGTAGCCGACGATCGAGTCCTCCGTCACGGACATCACGTCGAGACTCTCGAGGTCGTCGACCCACTCGAATCGCTCGGCAACGGCTACGGCAACGGCTGACACATCGTGGCCAACCGTACAGATTGTTGATATCGAGATACATCAGATAGATCGACGGTCGCGACGGATCGTACGCGCTCATGTACTTGTTGTTAGCGCGAGCGTATCTGTTGGAGCACTGATTCAGACCGCCGCGTATTCCGCGTTCCACGAACATCATCATATCGATATCGGTGAGCAGCTCGAAACGGACCCCCGTGTACTTGAGCATCGCGTCCCACGTGTATCCCGGCAACGTGAAGTAGTACGCGGGATCTAAACCGTAACTCTCCAAACAAGCGGCGCGAAAATTTTCGAACACGTCCGCGAGCAGAAGAACGTCGGTCTTCAGATAGAGATTGCTGTACTCGCCTAGATTTTCGACGCCGAATCGCTTCCAGACGCGCGTGCGCGTAATCGCTCTCCGATACGGTGTCGCCGGTCAGAGAACTGTAGAAGGACTCGCGCGGCGAGAGACGCGTCTCCCGCAATCTTTCGACGCTGTCGACGTACTCGTACGGAAACACGCCCTTGCGCGTGAGAAGCCGGAAGTCGTCGTCTGAGAGATCGCGAAACTCGCCTCGCGCGATCGTCAGTTTGCTCTCGTCGAGATACGACGCCAGCTTGTCGAGACCGGCGCCTAAAAACTTGAACGAGTCCACGAATCGTAATTTGACGTATCTGGAACGCGCGACGTTTCCCCCGTCTCCCTCCGCCGCGCTATCTCGAACGGTCTTAGATAAAGCTATGTACGATTCCTTCGTCACCGGCAACAACTCGACGCTGCCGGCGATATGCGTTAGCCACATCCTTGATAATGAAGTGCGCGTCGTAACCCGATAGATTGTGAAAGAATACGGGTATGACGTAGGGGTCCTTGTAATTCAAATTACACGCGGAATGCGCCGGATCTCTGAAACGGCCGGTCAAGTGACAGTGATCGCGCACGCGAACGTTGTCGGCCTCGAACGGTCTCTCGCACGCGTGACAGCGCGACGTGCTCGCGAACGTCTCCCGCTCGTCGGACGTCAAATCCGCCATCGGTACCACGCCGTCGAGGGCGACCTTCGCGCGAAGCGCCAGATCGCGCAGCTCGCGCACGAACCACGCGACGCAATCCTCGCCGCGATAAGATCCGTACGCCGACACGGCGTCGTCGAAGGAGTAACGCGTGTAATAGGCCACACTGTGAACTCTGTGATGCTGAACGATCCGCGTATTCTTGGTTCTCCCGCCCTCGTCCCCCTCCTTCCTCTCCAACGCGCACTCCAGATCGGCGTACATCGCGAACGGAATTCGCTCCTTTCTCGAATGATGCTCGAACTCCAGCCACCTGTCGTCCTCGCCGGGAAGAACGATCGCGCAATTGTTCAGCTTGCCGCAATCCTCGCTGTGCGCCGACAGCTTCTCGCTCGTGCGAAAGTAATGCATGCATCTGAAAGAAAATACGAAATAAACGCTAGCTCGATATCTCGCTCGCCGAGATCGAACGCTCACCGATCGCACACGTGCGTCCTGTGCTGTCACTTGCTCAACTGCGAGCCGATCAGACGAGACAGATCTCGAATACAAGCGAAATGTCCGACCGCGTTACCCTCGCGCGTCGCATCGCTCAGATACAGCAGATTGACGTATCTCTCCCTCTTTCGATCCGTCAGACGAAGAGGGACGATGCGAATCCCGCCGTCGCCGTCCTTCCCGCGTCGTCTCTCTCCGACGGTGTACACGTTCACCGATATATCGTTCAGAACGCTCGAACCGTCCGATTCCGTTCAGAGTCATAGGTAACTTCGAGCCCTCCAGATTCAACACCTCGGAGTAATGCGGATATCGCGAGCTTCTCTCGCGGTGCTTATCCGCGGGATACAGAGCGGCGACCACCGACCACTAGGGATGCGCGATTCTACTCGATTCGTCGAAAACTATCCGATTCCTTTTTTGAAGAATCGATTATTGTGTCGATTATTTTAAAGTTCGATTCTTGATAACTCGATTATTTTTTAATCAAGAATCGACAAATAATTTTTTCTTTTTATGTCTTTCTAAAAGGGACTCTATCACTTTACATTGTATTCGAGGCCTAAGGTCTAATCTACAATCAAGTCGTTGTCGTAAGAAATTAACCAATCACAATTGAATATTCTTCTCTAAATTTAACTGTGATTGGTTAATTTCTTACAACAATTTACGACTTCTATTGTAGACGAGGCATAAAGGTTCTCAGGCCGGCGTCCCATTGAGTGGAAATCCACGGCGGCACGAAACGCGCGGAGCCAGCGCGACCAATTAGGGAAACAAAAAAAGCGCAGGAAAGAAAACGGAATAGCTGTGATTGGTCGCACTGGTTCCGCGCGTTCTGTTCCGTTGTGGATTTCCGCCCAATGGAACGCCGGCCTTATGCCCGGTCTACATCGGCTGTCTTGGAATGTATAGACGTTAGGTTAGACGTGTTCACGTGTAGTGGTCTCCCGCTATTAGTGCGTAAATTAGCAATAAACATTTCTAAGCTACCTTTTTCAAAAAGGTACCTTTTTGTGTCGGATTAGTACTCGCGTTCTCGCGTATCTGCCCTCCCTAGTGCTTCTTTTCTCACACGGATTGTGGACCATCGATTGTTCTCGGCTTTGGCCATTGCCTCGGACAAAAGCATTGACTTATAGCACACAAGCACGGTTTTTTGAGAAGAAGCAACAATATATCGTAATGTAAGTCGGTGTTTTTTTTTATCCTATTATAATTTTTTAAATTATTTTTAATTTGTTTTTTCTTTTGGCCATACTACATATATTCGAATTTTTTTATAATCTTTCAAATGTTTGAATTTTAATATTGCAGATTTAGTTAACTGCGTTTCACAAATACTTTATAGTGCATTACATGCTAACAATAAATGTGTATTTTTATAAATATTTATGCAGCTTTGCTATCACATATGATAGTCCTATATTTATCACTTTTACATATTTATATTTTTTTGCCTTATTTATTCAATGTTACATTATTATGTTAAATTTTAATTATTCTGTTATTAAGTATTCCATACATTATAAATTGCAATTGCTCTTTGCTAATTACTTATTGTATTTGTATGTCTTATAGATAGTAAATCGGACCTTCGAACACCAGATTTTAGAAAAAATATATATATAATACAAGTTTATATAAAGAAAGCATTGCCTTTTTTGGAAGAGACAATACTGTAACGTAAGTTTCACACCAAGCTTTAATATTTTTTTTTAAATGAGTATTTATTTTATTTTTATTTTTTACTACTTATTCTAGAATTTGATATTATTTTAATAATATATGCATGCAAAAATAAAATGTCATTCACTTTCCATAATACACAAAAATATTTAATTTTTTAAATTAATTAATTATGTTTTTATGCTTTGTTATATTATAGATACTGAGGCCGATGCATGTGGCTGATTTAATAACAGTCTCTTTCTACATAGTGAATAATTCTGCTTTTTGATGGATTCATGCTACTCGATGAACTTGCTTCTTTAATAAACTGCAATATATACTGCCTGATATACTGTCATTTTTAATTACAAACTTTGTGTAATTATGGATGACCAATACATGGAAGAGACTGATCGTAAGTTCGTAATTCAAAGTGTTAAACACAAAATCAATTTATTTGCTTATTTTTTAATGTACTTCCTTAAAATAAACATAAATTTAATAGTTCAAATTTACAACGTACAATAATAAATAGTTACATTATAAAAATATTTATTTGAAAAAATGTACCACAAGAGGATGCGAGAAGATTTACAATATATTTCCAAATAAACAGTCATGAGCCAATTAATATTTCGGATTTAAAAATTTCAGAATATTTAAAATTTAAAAGTATGTATAAATGAATATTATAAATTATATTTCTGTTACTGTAAATTAACTTATTTTAATTAAAATTGTTTGATTATAGGAAATGATGAATATGCTTTGCAGTATTGCCAAAGTCATTATACCGATGAGAGTGAGGTAATTGTAAAGATGTATCGATCATTGGATAATGTAGATTATATTCAAGTCAACATTCCTGATACTGATACAGAGGAAGAATGTGCTGAAGATCTTATAGAAATACAGTCAAAACGTATTGAAAATGCTAGTAAGCCTGCACAATAAAATATTGATTCCAGTGATAATGAAAAAATGGATATTTCTAGCGTTGGTATGTATACTGCATTTATCTCAAGTAATTATTATGTATAATAAATAAATAATAAAAATTCTTCAGATTTATATATATAATGTCTTTGGAGCACTTCTAAACTATTGATAATTTTTAATGAAGTTATTATTGCTTATTTAATAGATGATTCTCAAGCTAGTTGCAATTTAAGTTCGCAGAAGTTAAAATCTAAAATTCAACCAAGTCCAATATGGAATCATGTTGAAAAAATTAAAAATAAAGATTTATTTAAATGTCTACATTGCAAAAAAGAATATAAAGCATGTGGAAACACTACGAACATGCTGAAACATTTGAAGACTCAACATCCATTATTTTTTCAAATTTCTCCAAAAAGTACAAATTCATGTAATAGCAAAATCAAGAAAGCAGCAGTAAAAAGATCATTTCAAGAAGTCAACAATACCGAGTCAACTCAATTAAACCCACCAAAGAAACAATGCGGTGATTCATCTGATAATTATGGAATAAAAGAAGCATTCAAACGTGTAGATTCTTTCAAAGAAGGAGGTTCTATATCAGATAAAATTACGATGCAATTTTATTTATGATATGCAAAGATTTACTTCCTATTTTTACTGTAGAACATGAAGGGTTTTTAACACTACTTAAGATTTTGGCACCTCTTTACAAGCCTCCTTCGACCAAAACAATGACTAAAAGACTTGAATCTCGACACAATGTCATGAAACAAGCTTTTGTTAAAGAACTTCAAGATGCAGATCATTATTGTTTAACCTGGACAACTGGACTGACTCTTCTAATAAAAGCTATTTAGGAGTAACAATTCATTACCTACAAAAGTCTTCTAAAATGAAAAGTGGATGTCTTGGATGCTTTCCACTTCATGAGCATCATACAGCTGAGTACCTTAAACAATCATTGCAACAATTATTCGAAGAATTTAATATCACAACGGAAAAACTTACAGCTATAATATCGGATGGCGAGGCAGCTATTAAAAAAGCTTGCACTGAAATAGTTGGAAAAGATAAACATATTGTTTGTATTGCTCAAGTTGTAGCTCACCTTCTTCCCGACGCACTAACTAAGTTTCCAGAATTAACTAGTATCATTGAGCAAATAAAATCCATAGTGACACTTATCAGAAGAAGTATTCCAGCATCAGATAAGCTTAGAGAGTTGCAATTAAAAGCAGGAAAGAGTGAAGGAACTGCACTTAGCCTTATACAAGACGTTCCCATTCGATGGACAACAAAAGTTGACGCGATTGAAAGGTATATGGAACCATATATTTATGCAGCCATGTCTGAATGTGCAAATCCTATTGACGTCTTAAATAGAGAACAGATAAAAATTCTTAATGATATATTCCCATTAATGAAGCCTATAAGAGATGTTATAAAAGAGATAAGTGGAGACTCGTATCCTACCTGCAGCATAATTATTCCCATCATTCACTGTATGAGAAAAAAAATAGATGACGTCAATCTTCAAACAGAAATTGGGAAGAATTGTAAAATAAAGATTCAGGCTGCTATATCACAAAGATTTAAAAACTTTGAGCATGTTCCGCTATTATCAATGGCAACTATATTAGAGCCTCGATTTTAAAAAGTCCATTTCAAAGATGTATTAGCTGTTTATCCTGCTATAAGCCGAATCAACGCTAAGCTTAAAGATTTTAAGCCAAAAACTCCTGAACATCTACTTGAATCTTAAACAGAAAAATTGGAGAGTATATGGGATTTCCATGACACGTTAGAACTGAAACAAAAATCTATTTCTAATGCATCAAAGAATCTAGAACTTGAGCAGTACCTACAACTAGAAAGGATCCCGAGGAAGGACGACATTTTTATGTACTGGAAGAGTGTGGAAACAACTTTTCCTTCACTTAGCAAACTAGCTTTAAGACATTTGTCAGTAATTGGAACATCCGTTCCCTGCAAACGCTTATTCTCAAAAGCAGGATTGATTAAGCGTGATAATCGGAACAGATTAACTAGCAGGCACCTGAATATGTTAGTATTTTTAAGTTCAATTTGTCAAGAAGATTGGTGTATGTTTTAGTCAGCTTTGACTCACTATTCTGTTTGTTTAAATGATTTCAAATTTTATTTACTATTGGTTTTTAATAATATTTATGTAATTATTATTATTATTTTTGCTAACATTCTATTAACACATTAATAAATCTACACTTTTCACATTAACAAAATGTTACATGTATACATTTGGTACTTGCATGATCTAACTGTTGTATAATTTTATGATTTATTATGGCATGGGTATCATCAGCTTGCCGTGAACTGTGAGAATGATATATTGCTGCACTTGGTTTATGGTGGATTATGGTTTCATAATCATAATTTAACTTGTAATCTTTTATTTATTTTTCAGATTCTCAATAGAAATGGAAATCAGGTGTTCTAAAGTAAATAAAAATAATTTGAAGCGTACATAAAACATAAGATTTTTTTTACACATACATGTATACATACACTACACAGTTTTCAAAAGTTACACAATGTATATTTATATATATATATATATATATATATATATATTTCTCATATGATTCAATAAAATCAAATTCTTCAACTTTAATATATATTTATTTTCAATAAACATTTTTATTTTACATTCAATTGTTTCTGTAGAGTTATAGATAAAGGTCCATATTCAGAACACGCTTTTAAAAATGTTAACGCGTTTTTTTGTCATTCTATCTTAATTGTTTATTATACGTGAAAGGATAAAATGACAAAAAAGTGCGCTAACATTTTTAAAAGCGCGTTCTGAATACGGGCCATAGAGAGCGACAACGAAAAGATTTGGTTTGATTGGCTGTCTGAATCTGCGGGAAACTAACATGGCGTCTTGGTTACGTGATTCAGATTCAGCCAATCAAACTAAATCCTTCCGTTGTTGCTTCTCTATTTATATCTAGAACTCTATCTATGGCCGGTATTCATAAGCCGGTATTCATAGGCCCGTATTCATAGTCGGTTCTTATATTTAAGATCGTCTTAAGTATGGACTTATATTCGTTCTCTTCGTCACACACAGATTGTGTATGACGAAGAGAGCGAATATAAGTCCGTACTTAAGACGATCTTAAATATAAGAGCTGACTATGAATACCGGCCATAATCCGATCTTATATTTAAGATCGTCTTAAGATCTCACCCAGCCAATGAAATTGCGCTATACGGCCATGTCATTAGTTGAATGAGCTCTTAAGACGATCTTAAATATAAGATCGGACTACGAATACCGGCCGTATCGATCACTGTTGTCGCTTCTCTATTTATATATAGAACTCTGGTTTTTGTTATTGATTTCTTTTTTCGTCGATTCTTCGATTCTTTTTGAAAATAATCGATTTTCAGGTATCGATGCTTTTTAAAAATTGATTCTTATGCATCGATATTTTTGAACGGAATCGCCTATCCCTACCGACCACGCGAAACACGCCTCGTCGTCGTCGTCGGATCGCACGTTGACCACCGCTCTCTTCGTTTGAATCTCTCGCGGTACTCGCACGTGGCACCCCGCCCGCATGAGATTGTACACGTTCACGTTCACCGTTAGATCGAGTATGCGCGACAGGGCCCATCCGCTGTCGCGCTCTTGAAACTCCTCCAAAGACGTGACGGTATCGCCGACGACGCGAGTATCGTACCACTCGCGCAGATCCGTCGTGGGTAGAAGGGGATGGTTTCTCGTGGCGATCGTCTTAACGGCGATTTTATCGCCCGACACGAATTCTCCGTTGAACGTCGTGTTCACTTTAACGCTGCGATATCGGCCCATGACGTCGCGCACGCGGCGGAGCACGGTGTCCCTCGCGTTCTCGAGAAATCTCAGAGGTTCGATGTAATCGAGATTTATCACAGCGCCGGTCAACACGCGTCTGTTGAAAGCCGTCTCGACCTCGGACCACGAGAATCCCTCGCGCGACTCGACCCCGCTACCGCCGTCGTCCTCGCGTCTCGCGACACCCGCGCCCTCCCGTTCGAAGCGTCGCCGTAGATCGTTCCTCGCGCCGATCACTCGCAGGATTCGGGCGACCAGAGAGGTTCTCGCCCCCGTGGAGATTCGACGACTCGCGTCCAGGCACCTCTCGCGCAGAGTCGCGAGACACTCCTCGCACCGTCGCGTCCACGCGCGATAGTCATCCGTCGTGACGATGTCGCGCGCGCTCTCCAGCGTCCGGCGCTCTTCCTCCCGCATGGTCGCGTCCTCTTCTCTCCCTACGGCGATTCGTCGTCCTCTCTCTCTCCTCCTCACGGCGAGGCCTTATCCACAGCGTCTCGCCTCGCGAATCCACCGGCAGCGAAATCCCGCGACGCGTCCCGGTCGCCCGCGTATCTCCGGCGTCGAATCTTGCCGCTCTTCCGCTACACACCAGGACCGTCTCGATCCACAGCTCCTCGCGCGCGTCTCGAAGACCGATCGCCCGCCTCGTCGAATAGGTCGCGACGCTCCACGCGATCCTCTCCTTCAACACTCGAGCGTAGCGGTCGATCGGCAGATCGACGCGCTTCTCGCTCATGACAACTCGCGCCTCAAGCGTATCAAATCCACGCCGCAGAACATATTTCGGCGGAACGGATACTCGCGACCGCTGTCCTCGCGATTGTACGTGTATCGCAGAGTTCTACCCGCTTTATCCTCGGGCGGGAGAATCCTGCAGCGCGCGATCGGATATAAGTATCGTTCTTCCGGTTGGGGATAATCGAACGAGTGGTATTTCCGCACGCCGTTACACATATAACCCTTCGGATCCTGATGACCCATCGGATACTTCGCTCTAAACCACCTGTTTAGATCATAGTTGTAAAAATCGGCTCTGCGACTGTGGGCCAGAGCCGTCTCGACCCACAACTCCTCGCGTCGACTGTGTTTGAACGGCTCTTCTCAGATGATACGTCGCGACGTTCCATCGCGCGCTCTCCTTCAACTCGACGTCGTCGTCGCCTATCGGGCGCGACAACACCTCCGCCGCCCTAGAGTCGACGGTAGAGACGACTCCGGCGGAACTCGCGCCGCTCATACGCGCGCCTCGTCGTTCGCGAACCTATCTTCCCGAAAAAAAAAATGAACGATCGGATAGACCGATCGCGAGGCGTGTACGCGCCTTGAAACGACCGTCGGCGTCTTTATACTCGCTCGTTCGAGCGACGACGACGACGACGTCGCGCGAGCGGGAAAAAATTTCTCCGCGGTCGCGCGGTTTTCGCCTTCGGAAACGACGAATCCGTCGAAATACCGCATTCGACCGGATTCGGCGCGCGTTATCGCGCGCGCGCGCGTCTCTCGCCGCTGCGCGTTCGAGAGAAAGAAACGACAACGGAAGCGTCGCTGCGAATATCTCTCTCGTCTTAGCGCGACGCGCTCGAGAGGAAGGAACGGCGACGGAAGCGTCGCCACGAATATCCCTCGCGTGCGCGCGCGCGCGCGACTAAATCCTAACGGAATCCCGCTCCTCTCTCGTTATCGCGCTTAAAAAGGAGAGATAAGCGGCGAGTCCGAGAACGCGCGACGACCGTGATATCGCGCGAAACTGCGATATCGCGCGCGACGAGGTCCTCGTCCGATCGACGCGCTCTCCGTCGATCCTCTAGAACGAAGGATCGACGACCTCCGTCGACGAGAGAGAAACGCCTCTACTCGCGACGTGTTCTCCCGATACATCGTACGCTCGTTTTACGAAACGCGCGCACATTTAGGTTAAAATTCGAGCGATGCGCTCGCGTTTGACGTCTACGACGAGACGAGGCGAGAAACACCGCCGCGCTCCGCGTGCTCTCCCGATACATCGCGCGCCTTTTTTCTTACAAACGGACATAAAAAATATTCGAATTTACATTCGAGCGACGCGTAAGACGCGATGGAAACGCTCGAGGCCGCTCGTCGCTCCCTCCTCGGCGCGTCGAAACGACGCGAGCCTGCGGAGGCGCGTATGTATTATATAAATATTGCATTAATATTATTTACATATTATATAAATATTATATAAATATTATTTAAATCGCATATTTTACATTACGTCTCTTCCAGGCCTGCGTAGAGCGCGTCCGCTCCGCTCTATTATTAACGCCGACCTTATCTCGCGCGACGCGCCCGACGCCGGGGCGATCGCCGCTTATCGCGCCGCGTCCAGAGACACTCCGACGCGCCGTAACCAGGGACGCGCGCTCTCTCCCCCCCTCTCCCGCGCGAACCGCGCTCCCCCTCGCGCCCGCCCCCCCCTCGCCCTACCCTCCGCGTGACGTCGCGACCCGCCGTCCGCTCCCCCCTCGCCCCGCCGCCCCCGTCGCCCTCCCCCCGCCGCGTGACGTCACGACTCTCCGTTTACCCACCCGACGGCGAGCGGCTCCCCTCGCCCTACCTACCCCCCCTGCTCACCCGCGCCGCCGTCACCCTGCCCCTCAGATATCTTTCTATCTCTTTCGCTCTACGAGACCTCTCTCTCGCACCCGTGGAAAAAGTGGGTTAGAATCGACCTATTCTCCCTACTAATATATAATTGTTTATTGCAAATTATATTTTTTTTCTTCGAAATAACTATATGTTTTCTTTACACCAATTGATTCCTCTCATGATTTTGTACATAAAAGTATTAAGGTAAAGTAATCGAAAAATGAATATTTTACAAGATATTTTACGGTTTATGTAAAACTAAGAAATGATTTCCTCATAACTCGGAAAGTACTTAATAAAAACTAACTTAATTATAGTGTTTTGAAAACATACAGTTGTTTTTAAGAAAAAATATGGAATTGTTAATTGCAAATTACATATTTTTTCTTAGAAACAACTATGTGTTTTCTTTACACCAATTGATTCCTCTCATTATTTTGTACATAAAAGTATGAAGGTAAGATAATCGAAAAATGAATGGTTTACTAGATATTTTATGGTTTATGTAAAATTAAGAAATTATTTCAAGCCTTATAACTCAAAAAGTACTTAATAAAAAGGTACTTAATTATAGTGTTTTGGAAAGCTCTCGAGATAAGCTACAAGAATATGCAATGAAAAATAGGGGGTTCCATTTAAGAAATTGAAGGTAATCTTTATGTGACCTTCAAATAACTATCCAAGGTCAAATCTAAGGTCACCGTCGGATTGCCCGGGAAAAATCCTACAACTTTTGTCTAGGTCATTTTCCTCTGTGATGCGTATTTTTCAAATTATCCAGCCGTCCCGGAACTTTTGACACACGCTGTATACTTCGTGCACGTTTAAATTTTCGTGAACAATTAATCTTTAAGAAAAATTTACGCATTACCATCCGCGGTGGCTCTTATTCGCTAGTTTCTTATCGTATTGTTTAAATATTTTAAGTAACTTACTTATTTCCTATTGCAAATTTGAAATAATACTGTAAATATGTATGCATATATGTACATATATATGTATGCATATAATGTGTATACATTATGTATATGTGTATATAAATATGTAATATGTATTAAATGTATACATGTGTTTGTGCGTATATG